GCATGAAGTTCGATGTCCGCCATGACTTTCATCACCTTGTCGTTGAAAAGGAAGACCATTCGAAAACGACGTTCATCTTTTTTGAAGGAAATTGACAATGGATCCGATGCCCGATGAGCATCGACAACTTGAATGCACTAGCTACGTTCCAGCGCGCAATGAATATGACCTTCCAGAACTTCGTGTAAAAAACACAGCTAGGGCAGAGAATCATTTAACTACTGGATGATCGTATATATGAATGGTATCTGGTATACTCAAGCGCCTATGAAGGATATGTGCATTTTCCTTCATTTTTCTCGAACAACTTCATATACATTTAAGCCTAGCTTAGTTGGTAAGGCACATAGTGGCATTCAGGAGGTCTTGAGCTCCCCCATTGGCGCCTGACACCTAGAGATAGCCCGTTGGTCCCCCCTATCCGCATTGAGCAGAGACTGCTGATGTTCATAGGGGGAGGGGATTGGAGGGGAAGCGCACATATTAGTCCAGTTGGCATGGTTCCTGATGCTACCTGCTGAGTCGTGCTGACCCCTGATCCGTATCGCCCACCTGGAGGTAGGGTACAACCTCTTCATGTGCCCTTGTTGTAGGCCTGAACATGGATGTGGATGATACTGTAATGATAAAAGTGACCTGAAAGGCCGTCCTGTCCAGATTTGACAGGTAATTGAAAAGAAAAAAAAAATCGGGAAGCCGGAAATTAGGCCTGGACCCGGAACCTTCCTTCCCGATGAGATGCCCGTTTGAGTTCCTAGACCCCTTCCCGCCTCTCCCCTTTCTCTGGCTGTAATCCGAAGTTGACCACGGTGTTTTCTCCCGGTCCCCCCCGGAGCGTGATACAAGCAACATAAAGCAAGTCACACTGTTGCTCTCAAAATGGAATGAAGGGAGGTTAGGTGGTCTGCAATTGTCGGGCGCCCTGCAGCAGGGCTGAAGAGGTCCCCCTTCTCTCAATGTTCCTCAATATCGCTCTTAATCCCCTGGTTTCCAGGGCAATCAATGCTGGCAGGTGGATAATACTCTCGGTCTTTTGGTGTACAAAGGGACGCTGGACCCGTTTTCCAGCAGGTGTAGCTCCCCACCAATAGACTGTCGCCGCTGCATCTTTTCCCCTCTGTGCGCTCCGAAAATGCCAACAAACGGGCCAAAATCCCATAATCGGAATTACGGCCTTTTCCTGCACTTGCGAGGTGGGGTGGGGAGGGGAACGTTCCTGCTTTGATACGAGTGTGATGGACCTGCCGGGATGGCAGTCCGTCAGGATGAAGACCAAGGGTAAGGGAGGAGCCTAGGAGGAGATGGAGATGGAGCTGGAAGGGACATCGCAGCGCCAACACAGGAGAGCGACAAGGAAGCCAGCTAGGAGGGGGTGCTCTTATCACCTTTCGTAGCTGAACAACTGGCTTTGTTTTTTTTTTTTTTTAAAGAAGGAAGGCCTGAACCCAGAAAACTTTTGAATTGGTGGCGGCAAAAACTAGCATTTTCGTTTCTCCTCTGCCTACCTCCTCTTTTTCAGTACACCGACCTCTGCATTTTCAGCACACCAACCTCCACGTTTTCAGCACACCATCCAACCCCCGTGCCTCCTTTCTGCACGGGATGTTGAATCTAAAGGGATTGGATGGTGGGCTGACAAAGAGGAGGCAGAATTGCCTACAAGGGCAAGTCTTCTTCTTCTTCTTCTTCTGTTTTTTTTTTTTTTTTTTTTTTTAAGCCTAGGGTGTTGTGGAGGCCAAGGACCAGACCCGCGATGATTGCTGGTAGACTCAGCCAATGGTTGTCTTGACAAGATAGGCCACCTACACTACCCATCCCCACGTTAATACTCCCGGTGCAACCCCTGTCCCTACTATCCTACCTCAATGTGACCAGCACTCAGGACCAGTACCGTATCAAAATCGAGGGCAACTTGGACCAAACAGCAGTGACAAGCACCAAGGCTGGGCCGACCTCCCAGCCCTAATGGAAGCGGAAGCGGACGAACCTTGCAGTACGGCAACTTCGGACGCCAGGCTCATGCAACCTTCTACAGGCCCGATTCAGAGAGTCTACCTACCAGGATTACCTAAGCAAGGCAGGCCAGCGCCCGCGGACACATCCTTTCGTCCTTCCCCTACCTTACCCAAGGCTAGGCGGAACTCAGACTAGCCGGAGCGACTTATATCCCTACCCTACCCTAGAGCTAAGCCATGTGTGAGTAGACCCCATCATATACCTGATAGATCCCCCCAACCAAGTATCATATTTGTGTGTATGTGTGTGTGCCCAAAGGCTATATATGTTTGTATGACCCCATAGGACCCATGTTTTTTGTGTCTGCCCGAAGGCTATGTGTGCTCTGTGTAACTGTATAGCGAGGTGTATATGCCCGAAGGCCAGATATGTGCAGTACTATGTAGAGGGAACTATGTGTTCGTTTTGAAGAGATGACAGGCCAAGCTGCGCAAGACCCCCCCCCAAAGTCCCAAGCCAGACTCGAACCCGTGATCTATGACATATGACCTGAAGACTCTACCATTTGAGTGACAATCGCAAACGGCCCCTGTGTGTGATATGCCAGACTGGGGAGATCAACAGAACAACCACGAGCAACAGCCACAAGCAACAACCACAATCAACCCACACAGTATCAAGACCCGACACAACACCATGGACAACCCTTGGGTGGTGTGCAGGCAGTGTTTGTATAAGCTTACCGTGCGTCAGCCCAAGGGGGTGTGTGTCCAGTCGTGCGTCATTCTAACGCCCTGCCGGGGTCCAGACACAAGGTTGCAATTGAGGTTTGAACCCGCAACCTCATACCACAATGCGCATTTCCAACCGGTGCTCTAACCATTGAGCTACATATGATGACTTAAACCTATGGACGTGCCGAAATCTGTTGTGGAAGTGGAGTCCCTTTTCTCTTGCCCATTCCCGTGTACAATTTGTGCTGGCGGATGCTTTCTAGGCGCCAAACTAGGCAGTGGGCTCCAGGCCTTAGGAGCTCAATCCACGACCCTCAACTTGAGAAAAATCTCAAGGGCAGTTTCGTTCCACTACGCCCTTGAGATTCAATAATCATGATTAGGAGGTGATTAAACCACCAGTACTTGGCCCAGCTATCGGCCGCGGGCGATTCCCGTTTACGCGCCGGTAGTTGCGCGCTTCGGGGCACCGAACCACAATGGCTGGAAGCGCCAGCCAAAATGAAAACGAAATGGTGCCCTGGCGGCTCGGCAAAACTTGGCGCGCAGGGGGTATCCCGGCTCGGCATCAATAGCTGGGCCAAGTACTGGTGGTTTAACGTTCCCGCCGCAAAAAAATCCCGCTCTGAAACTGAAGGCCGGGGGCCTCGGCCCACATGCCAGCGAGTAGTATAGTTTACTAGTCTGTGTGACAGTCGAAGTCGGGAAACGAACATGATTCAGTTCAGCATGTGTGTTTGCCCCCTGGGTCTAGGTCCGGTACTCTCCCCTGTGTGCAAAACCATCGTGCATATAGTGCAGAACATGGACAAATACACCTGCACGATTTTTTTAATTTTATTTTTTTGGGAAACGGACCACGATTTTCGCCTTTTTGCACATCCACGGTAGTGGGGTGAGGGCCTTTGTGTGCAGTTGGGCGTCGCTCCACTACTCTCGACACGCACAAAAGACAAAAAATTGTGGCGGTGTATCTTTCCGTAGCAGAAGATTCACTCTTGTTTTGCACATTTCGGTAGTAGTGGAGCCAGGCCCGTTATTGGACGGACCTCCTTTGGGTGTACGCCCAGCCAGAGGACGGCGGCCCACAGAAAACCAAAAAACGAAAACGCCCACTTTTTTTACTTCTTTTCCCCCCTTATAGCCTCAGGTGAAGACGAAACGAAACCTACAGCCTTGCTCTGGCACCACAGCTGACGTAATATAGCACTTACCAGAGGGCCTTCCTCGTCAGAAGCAGCGTCACGACTGTAAGATCAATACCAATCAATACACTGTGCGAATGACTCAGGGGCAGAGTCCATTGCTGCTATGTTTGTGCCTGAAAAGAATGAATTCGGCGGCCATGGTGACCAGGTTCGTGCTTTCTCAGTATGAGGTAACATACCACTTACCGGTGGGCCTTCCTCTTCAGAAGCAGAGTCACGACTGTGGGATCAATCCTGCTGTACCTCGTACCAGCTGGCGCTGTACGCTGTAGGCAAGGAGGCAAAAACGAATAGTATTCTATGCCAGAAAAACGAGGTTAGTATTCTACACCGTATTCCCTCTCCCTCCAGTCCGTAGGGGACCCCTAAAGCAACTAAGAACCAATGACAAATGGGAGCCTTACGGCTCCCTGCCCTAAATGGCGGGATGCATAATCCCACCGTCCGATCGACAGTTCCTAACACTCCCACACCGTCACACGGACTAGTAAACTATACTGGCATGTGGGCCGAGGCCCCTGCTGTAGGGCGCCCTGGCAAACTGGCCCAATTTCCGAGTCACCTCCCAGCCGTGACTTGAATGTCCTTGAAAAGGGCTCCAGCACTGTCCGGGAGGTGTTTTTTTCTTGTTTTTCTTTTTTTCCGACTGCAGTTGTCCTGGGCCAATGATGGACCTTATTGGACCTGCTCGGTGAACCACGGGAAATAGCAGGCGCCATACATGTTCCCGCTCTTTTTTCAGAGTGCGAACTGCAGGGTGTAGTGGAACGAGAACGCAGTCTAGAATTGACCATCAGGCTCTAGGGGGCCGCCCTTGAGATTTTTCTCAAGTCAAGGGTAGTGGAACGAGCCCCTTCGTGTGGGTCCTGGAGCGAGCACGGCATGTCCGACTTAGCTCAGACCAAAGGTCCAGGGTGTAGTAGAGGCCCTAGAGGGTGGTGACCAGGCCTCAGGGAGTGCCCCGGTACTCATCCTGTTGGGAGCAGCAGCGTTTGCACAAACCTTGCGAAGCACAGGGAGCTTACGAGGCATTGTTAGGCTGCCTTTTCCACCATGCCTGTCGACGCTTGGGCTGGAGACACGGCTTTCCCGTAGTAAGCCGCTCAATCACCATGTATGTAATAATCCGGTCTGACTGCCCGTTCGCCTGCCCGGTCGTCCGCCCTGTCATCTTTGGCTTTGTTCGCCCACCAACGCGTAGTTTCCCCGTTGCCCGTGAGTCCAGCTCAGCACCACACAGAGGTTTACTTGACGCAGCACAGCCGGGCAGCACAGGAGCACCTGAAAGAGCCGGGCAGCACAGGAGCACCTGAAAGAGCTTGGCTGCGAGATGGCATTCTGAATAATGATCAATCTGTAGATGGGAGAGTAGGGACGTTTGTTACGACGTTCGATTGACTTTTTCGGTCGAGCGTCGATCTGGTGCAGTGCGTGACTGTGACTTACAGATCCTGCGCGAATGGGCGACGAAGGCCCGCCATCCATCCAGAGACTGGAGGAGGTGAGATGGGGAATGATTGGATGCGGCAGCGTGACAGAGCTGAAGTCAGGACCCGCGTTCTCTAAGATCGCGGTTTCGAGCCTCGTGATCGTCATGAGGAGGACGAAAGGCTTGGCGGAAGATTACGCCAAGCGCCATGGTGTACCCCGCTGGACAACGGACGCCAATGAAGTCATCCATGATCCAGAGGTGAATGCTGTCTACATCGCCACCCCTCCAAGCTCGCACGCAGAATATGCCATCAAAGTGGCAATGGCGGGGAAACCAGCGTACGTGGAGAAGCCGATGGGGATCTGCTACAAGGAGAGCGAGCGCATCCTGGAGGCCTTCAAAACAGCGGGACTGCCGCTCTTTGTCGCATACTACCGCCGATGCCTGCCAAATTTTGTCAAAGTCCGAGAGCTTGTCAGAACAGGTGCAATAGGTCAGGTCAGGGCACTGCATTTGCAGCTTCACAGGCCCGCCAAGGAGACTGACGTGAAGTTGGCTGCAACTGCTGCTGCAGCCGCAGCAGCAGCAGCAGCAGGAGGAGGAGGAGGAGGAGGAACAGGTGAGGTGGAGGGGTTACGAAGACCCTGGAGAGTCGATCCGCTTGTGGCGGGAAAAGGTGGATATTTTCGAGATTTAGCATCTCATCAGCTTAATTACCTCGAGTATGTTTTCGGTCCCGTGGTCCACGTGTCGGCTATTGCACGCAACCTAGGTAAACTTTACCCGACGGAAGACACAGTAATGGCAAGTCTCGAGTTCGAGTCCGGCGTGGTTGGTACCGGAAACTGGTGTTTTGCGTCGTCGAAGGCGGGTGACTGCGATTTCTGCGAGATCTACGGTGATCACGGCAAGATCCGTTTCAGTTTCTTCCAATCGTCTCTGATAGAGGTTGACAGCGGGGGGGCTACGCGGACAGAGATGGACTTGCCTTACCCTCCGCATGTGCAGCAACCTCTCCTGCAGACCGTCATGGCAGCGCTCAGAGGCGAGGGGCTCTGCCCCAGCACAGGAGACGCAGCCGCACAAACGGACCGAGTTCTGGATGCTATTCTTGGGGATGCCGACGGGCATATCGAGGATGGCAAACGGTTGGAGGGCGGGGTGAGGGTGCACACTTTTTCCACCTGAGGGAAACAAACAAGTGTACTGCTGTCAGCCGGAGTGTGAAGCGTGAATGGGACAGCGAGGCGAGCTAGCGGTAGACTGATGGTGGGAAGAGGGGGGGTGGGGGCGGGGTGGCGGCGGGCGGCGGCGCAAGGAGTGGGAAGGGCGCTAGCGGTTCTCGCTTCAGATCCGAAGAAAGGATGGGAGGGGGTCACTTAGGGTGGGAGGGGGCCGAGAGCATGTAGGAGCGGGAAGAATTAAGTGGGTAAGTGGGTGTGTCAGTAATGGCGACTGGGATGAGGTGGCGGGAATGATCAATGATGACGAGACGGGAGTAGGTGAGGCGAGTAGAAGGACGCGGGAGAGAATAGAGTACGGGTCGTCTGCTGGGCTTGGCATCATCAAGTGCTTATCGGATAGGCGAATCGTGCTAAGGCATCATTTGCCCGGCATGTCTTTTGCACCTTCCCTTTTTGTTACCTTCACTCACATTGTCCGAGCACGAAAAATTATCCTCCCCGCTCCTCCTCCTCCTCCTCCTCCTCCTCATCATCATCATCCGTGGGAGTGCGAAGGACTGTGTTTCATACTAGAATTCTAGTCGTGTATGCTTGTTAAATAACAAATGCTTTCGTTGTTCCGGCGAGTTTCACTCGTGGACGCGTGGTGCCGTAGCCACGGGGGTTCTTGCGTGTCACGCCTAGTGACGCCTTTTCCTGCTCAGATTGATTACTGCCTACGGTAGCATGCTGTTTTGCAACTACCGGCAGTGTTTCAAACTGTGCGTGCGATTTTTAATTGGTCAAGGCAGTGCATGATAAGTGCACAACGCTCTCGCAGAAAGAACGACATAGAAAGTAAGGACTGCGCGCTTCGGCCTATCAGGAAGAACTTCCTGGTAGGCCGACGAGAGCATGCTGTTTTTTTTTTTTTAAACACATTGTTGCTCATTATGGAGAGCATGCTGTTTTGCAACTACCGGTAGCGTTTCAAACTGTGCGTGTTATTTTTAATTGTCACGGCAGTGCATTATAAGTGCAACTCTCTCGCAGAAAGGACGGCATAGAACAGCTTATCGGGTAGACTCTCTGACTACTGGGGAGCCTGGCCTCCGAAGTTCCCGTACGGCAAGGTTCGTCCGCTTCCACCTCCACCACTGCCCAGCCCTGGTGCTAAAGCCCTGGTGATTGTCACTGCTATTTTGTCCAAGTTGCCCTCGATACTGGAAGGTGATGGTCCTGAGTGCTGGCCACACTGAGGTAGGAAGTAGGGATAGGGGTTGCACTAGGAGTATTGACTTGAGGATGGGGAGGTGGCCCCACCCTGTCACGACAACCATTGGCTGCCCGCTACCATATGTCTGGTCACTCCCCTCTGCAACACCCCGGGCTTAAAAGAAGAGGCAATATGATTTACCTCATTTGCGAGGCCCTATGCTTGTAGGGGTCCCCTCTATATAGTCTTAGGAGTAGTGGTAGGAAGGTAGTGAAAGGCAAAAGAATTTGAGAGAAGAATATAGTGTAAAAAAGAAAAAGTCTCTGCACTAGGGCGTATCAGGAAGTTCTTCCTGGTAGGTCCACGGGAGGTGATCACCAGTTTTGGGTCGCCACAACCCGCCACGTCCTGGTAGAGCTACGGGAAGTGAGAGGCCCACCGGAAGTGGATCCCAGTTTGTCTTCTTTGCTCTCGTCTCCAGGGGCATTGACCGCCATGGCAATTTTAATGCCCCTTACTCCCTCCCTCCCTCCGTCCCTCCCTCCCTCCCTCCCTCTTCCCTCTCGCACTTGCTCGCACCCTCCATCCCTCCCTCTCTCTCTCCCTCTCTCTCATATACACGTACAAAACCATGCTAAAGAGGGGTCTCGTTAGACACTCCTAAAAGAATCCTAAAAAAAATAGGATCAGTCCTAAAAGATTTTTAGGATCTGTGGCGTCTTGGTTAGAAGAATCCTAGAAGTACAGCTTTTAGGACGAGTCTTAAATGGTATCCCGCGGCCAGTTTCATGCATGTATACGGAGACGTGGCGCCGATGTCCGCCCATCGTCGTCCCATGTCCGTCATATACAGGGGTGCAGACCGCGGTTGTGTTTCGCCTGCCGAATCCCAATTGCGTGAGTGCCATTTGATGCATTCCCGGGCGGCGAAGACAGGCGGGCCACGCCCACGTATAGCACGGGCACGAGGTCGGTGATGGAGTGGATGTTGGTGGCGGTGGCCATGTGTTGTCTGCTGAGGAGCAGGGTGCAGTAGTGCTGACGGTGACGGCTGTCGTTCTCCGCCCGCAGATCGGCAAACCATCATCGGTGCACCACCCTTTCTCCCTCCGCAAAGCTTCTGCACCCAAAGGTGGACTACAGCGGGGGCAGGACACTGCAAGACGTCCCCTACAAGATTCGCCTCCCCCCCTCTGCCCCAATGGCTAGAGGCTCTGGCTGTTGCCGTCGTCCCACTGCCAAAGGCCTGCAATGTCCATGCAGTGGCCCCACGAACAACTTCTGCGCCACGGAGTTGTGGACATTGCTGCCCTGCACGTGTTGGCCAAGCTCCGTGAGACACGGACTCCCGAATTTTAAAGCTCCTCGTGAGTAGCTTTATTTTTTCGGTCGTTTTGCCTGGGGATTCCTTAAAGAAAATTGGAATGCTCCTTACGCTGTTTGCACATTTTCTTCACGATTTCCTTTTTAGGAAGCATCTAACCACAATGCGAAGGAGTGTCTAACGAGATCCTAAGTGTTTGTTCACTTTCTAGGAGAGATGTCCGTGGCCACAGGCTTGGACATTTTCCTGATTCCCTTGGCAGGGGACCATAAATGACCTTCCAAAATGCGAGATTGCAATCGGATGAGAATTTCCCCTTGCTACCTAGAGTAATTGCTCCTGGCCCGTCTTCCAGATGGGAGGTTTGGGCCTGCCCTTGAAAAATGGCCACATGCTCACTGCAGCCGTTCAGTTCCCTCCCATTCCTTCTTTTGTCGTTCCTGATCTGACCCCCCTCCTTCAGTCAAGTCTCCCTGGCGCACCCCCATCCCCTTAGTCCTACCTCAGTGTCTACCACTCAGGACAATCACCCCTCTCACATCTTGGTGGGAGTCTGCAACTCGGGATAATCACCCCTCTAACATCGTGGTGGGATGAGCTGACCGGACAGAGGTTGGAGGCACTACCGCTAAGCAGGAACCTTACTCGGCCCTGGTTGAAGCATATTCGAAAGAGCCCTGTCATAGGTCGGATCAGTTATGGCAGTTTGGGCAGAAAGGACAAGAGGTGCTGTTTTTCAGCGGGGTGATGTAGAGTGGGCTTTTCACTTGGAGGGGGTGGGACAGGAGGGATGGTGGGATGACCTGACCGGACAGCGGTTGCAGGCACCACCACTAAGCAGGAACCTCACTCGGCCCTGGTGGAATATTTGAAAGAGCCCTGTCATAGGTGGGATCAGTTACGGCAGTTGGGGCAGAAAGGACAAGGGGTGCTGTATTTCAGCGGGGTGATGTTGAGTGGGCTTTTTACTTGGAGGGGGTGGGACAGGAGGGATGGCGAACTTCAGCTCTGCGGAGGTATACTCTAGGGGGAATTGTACGCCGCTGAGGGAGTTGGGGTGACCCTTTAGGGGGCTGTCCTGAACTGGGGCTGATGAGGAGAGGGGGCTTCTCCCGGCGGAGGCAGTGTAGGGACAGGGGGGTGGCTTTTCTTTGAGGGGAGGGAGAAATCCTGGGGTTATTCTGTGAGCCCTTGATTGCTGCTGGTGGTGGAAGGTCACACCAGGGTGTTCTTGTGGATGGGTATAAAGTGTCCTGCTGGTGAGGAGGGCTAGCCGGTTGGATGGAAATAGGGCATAGCAGCGGTGGAAATGGTGGCTCTGCTGTTTTAAGTGTTGCTGGAGTAAGGTTAAAGGGGTCTGATGGGGTGTCCTGGTGGGATGAACACAATCAGTGTGTGACGGAGTGGGATGGAATGGGATGCATCAGAACAGCGATTTTGGTGGTGATTGGCTACTTGTCTGACACCTTGTTGATGCCGTCATACTCTTAGGATTGCAGATGACGGTGGCCAGAACGATGCTGGAAAGTGCCAGGGCTTGGTTGTGCTGCCCTGTAACCCGAGTTGGGTGGGGGCATGAGGCCTGGTTGTTCTGGGGCGGGTCGCACCATCCTGTAACCCAGCAGCTGGGGATGTGAGCCCTGGTAGAGGCTAGGTTGTTGAGAACATGAGGGTTGAGATAGGTTAGGATAAGCTGCTAAAAGGCACTAGGGGAGTTTGGTTTTGATGCTGTAAATGCCTCAAAGCTCCTGTGGAATAAGCGTAGGTAATTCAAGGTACTTCAATAGATTCGTAGTCTCTTTATAGTCCTCCTGAAATTGTTAGTTGGTTCATAATTGCTATCCCCAGCTGAATTTCTCTTTTCTTCTCTTCTCTTCTCTTTTCTCTCCTCTCCTCTCCTCTTCGCTCCTCTCCTCTCCTCTCCTCTTGTGCCCCCCAAAGTTCAGTACGCGGTCCCTCTATGTGTCTGAACATTCTCTACGAGCTCCTAGAGGCAGTGTCTACTGACGTAGACAGCACCCTAGCCCAGCTCTTGTTCACGTCATCCCTAATACTCTAAAGCAAAACGCGGGTCTCGCGTGACGCTTCCCGGGGCTTCCCAGGAGTACCCGTTGCCTGTTGGGCCCAGGCCGAATCGGGGCCCGGGCTGAATCGGCGGAAGGAATGTGTCAGGAGCGGCAGTTGGCAGTCGGGCCCAGGGCGATTTGGGGACCTGGCCGAATCGGCCGAAGTAATTTGCGGGTTTTTTTCGCGCCGGCGTTTTTTTTTTGGGCCGTGTGGCTGCTGTTTCCAAATCGTCATCGTCTTTGTGAATCCGCCGAAGTAATCAGCTTTTTTTCCCCTAATACTCTAAAGCAAAACGCGGGTCTCGCGTGACGCTTCCCAGGAGTACCCGTTGCCTGTTGGGCCCAGGCCGAATCGGGGCACGGGCTGAATCGGCGGAAGGAATTTGTCAGGAGTGGCAGTTGGCAGTCGGGCCCAGGGCGATTCGGGGACCTGGCCGAATCGGCCGAAGTAATTTGCGGGTTTTTTTCGCGCCGGCTTTTTTTTTTTGGGCCGTGTGGCTGCTGTTTCGAAATCGTCATCGTATTTGTGAATCCGCCGAAGTAATTAGCGGTTTTTTTTGGCGCCAACGTTTTTTTTTTTGGCCCGTGTGGCTGCTGTTTCAAAATCGTCATCGGCTTTGTGGGTTTTCGAATTCGTCATCATCTGTTCGAAGTTTCGTTTTCCGCTCGCTGTTTAGGGTGAAGGTGATTGGATTTCGTCGGTGTTTGTTGGAATTCTGTGATCAATTGTGACGAAGGGCGGGCAGTGGGAACGACGAGAGAGAGAGAGAGAGAGAGAGAGAG